GCCTCCCGTCCCGCGCCTCGCCCCGCCGGCCCTGAGTCAGGGGCAGTTTCTTTCATCGGGAGGCGGCGCACAAAATGGAAGATGAATTATCGGTGTCCGCCGCCGCTGCCCCCTCCGCCCGCCCGCCGTGCCGCCGGCCCGGCCCCGCCGCAGGTGCCCGCGGCCGCCGCCGGTGACCTTGGCGGCGGGGGCGGAAGATGGCGGGAGGAGGCCGGGACGCGCCGGGCCTGCGCGCCCCGAACTTCGCGGTCAGGCCGCGGCCCGCCCCGTGCCTCCCGTCCCGCGCCTCGCCCCGCCGGCCCTGAGTGGCGGCAGCGGCGGGCCGGGCCCTCCGGCCCCGCGCCGGCACCTTGCCGTGTTGCGCCAATAACAGTCGGGTTTTCAAACCGTTGGAAAGCCGTGAATAGGGAGAGTTGCTGCGGGATTATTTTTATTGCCCGAGGGAAAAACAAGTAGGGTGGGGGTGATCGGTCACCAAGCGAGCTTCTCGCACCCAGCCACGCGCTGCTCCCAGCCTTGTGCCGGCTGCCACACTCGCCTGCCTGCAACCCACCCAAACCCTGATGTGTGCACGGCTTGGGGCGCTCCTGTGGACTGGGAGCCATGTGGCCCTGTGGCTGCCCCTAGTATGGGGATGGGTCTGCTGAGGGGATGAGGCGTAGCTGGTGCTGGATGTGTGGTTCGAGCCTTGCTGTGGAGGCCGATTCAGACACTTTGTACGGGGTTCCAAATAGTGCTTTGCGGGCAGCAGTATGTGAGCTTAATGGCTTAGCTCCCGTTCTTTGGCATAATGTAAACATATGGATGTAAAACTTTGGTTGTGATGGGTTCTGCTTGGCTCGGGTCTGCTGCACAAGCCCGAGGAAGAATAATTGCAGAGCCATGTGGGAGACGGCAGGAGGTGTTGTGGGAGGAGAGGTGTGAGTGAGGGCAGGTTGTTTCTGGGGGTGTTTATGTACAAACAGGTGCACGCTGTATGTGCGCGCTTGTGTGTTCTGAGGTTCATGCGTTCCATTCTCCCTTCTGCCCCACAGAGTCAGGATGGCTAAAGGTGACCCGAAGAAGCCCAAGGGCAAGATGTCTGCCTACGCCTTCTTTGTGCAGACGTGCCGCGAGGAGCACAAGAAGAAGAACCCAGAGGTTCCTGTTAACTTTGCAGAGTTCTCTAAGAAGTGCTCGGAGAGGTGGAAGGTACCTTAATTTGAAGTGATGACTAGTCCTGTTACCTGCTTGTGTTGCCTGTGCCCATCTGAGGGCAGAAGGGGATGCTGCTGCTGCTCTGATCTGTGTGCTGTGTCTCTGCCTAATGTTCTGCTGCTGGCCCCCATAACAGCTGTGAGCTCTTGTGCCAACCTGGCCACCTCCCTCACAGTGCTGGCTGTGGCCGCTGTCCTGGCCAGGACCTTGGTCTCCACAGTGGTCCCTTAGAAAACAAACACAATTCTGAAATGGCTCTGTTGACTTGGCGTGTGTTGCCTTGTGTACTCAAAGTTTGCCAGCTATTGACCATTGGGTGATCACATGGCTTGGTGTCTTTTGTTTTTTGTGTGTTTTTTAGACCATGTCAAGCAAGGAGAAGGCTAAATTTGATGAAATGGCAAAGGCCGATAAGGTACGATACGATAGAGAAATGAAGGACTATGGCCCAGCTAAGGGTGGCAAGAAGAAGAAGGACCCCAATGCCCCAAAGCGACCACCGTAAGTACCTGAGGCATGGCATGCAGAGGGTTACTGCACTTCATCTTGCAGCGCTTACAACTAGCCTGTTATTTGCCATAAAAGAAGTCAGTGGGATGTACTGAGGGTATAGCAGTACCGAGGGTGGTGAGAGTGTTCTGTGGGACTTGTGGGCTGCCCGTAACCCTGCGCATGTTGAGTGCTGACCGAGCTGTTGATACTCAGTGCTCTCAAAGTCATGGCTGTGAAGGATGCGGACAGCAGGCCTGCAGTGAGACTTGTACACTGAAGATGGAATTGCGGACGGACAGGGATAGAAAACATTTAATAGAAACAAAATAAGGTTTAAGGCTGCAAGTTTGGCCCGCAGTAAAATCAAAATACATACTAAAAAAAAGTAATTAAAAAACGAACTTGTCGTCCGCTCGTAGGTGTAGGTGAGGATTTTGTGCTGCGTGGCAGGAAGGGGCTGCTGCTGGGGTGTGCTGCTGTGCTGCTCACTGTCCTCTGGTGCTTCTCCCCAGGTCTGGCTTCTTCCTGTTCTGCTCAGAGTTCCGCCCCAAGATCAAGTCCACAAACCCTGGCATATCCATTGGGGATGTAGCAAAGAAGCTTGGTGAAATGTGGAACAACCTCAGCGATGGTGAAAAGCAGCCTTATAACAATAAGGCCGCTAAGCTGAAGGAGAAGTATGAGAAGGTAAGGCTGTTGTAACGCGTCTCTCCTTCGCTGGTGCCTCTGTGTGCAGGCAGAGCTGAGCAGTGGGGGCTCTGCTGCCTGCAGCTGTTGCAGTTAGGCACTGTCGACGTGCTGCAGGGCCCAGCTCTCACAGTGGACGTGCCTCAGGTTGCAGTCAGGTAGAAGCAGACAGGTGCGTTCCGGCAGGGAGGAACGTCCCCAGGCAAAGCACACCTGTCGCTTCAGCAGAGAGTTTGCCGTGCTGTTAGGGGAGCTGTGTCTTGCTAGCAGGAAAGTGACAAGAGGTTGGTTTCCCTTACCCTCAGACAAGTAATGATGAGCGTGGGGCGCAGGGCTGCCTACCCTCTGGGGCCGCGGCTGCAGGAAGACAATCCCCTCCACTAACGTGCACCGCTGTGCAAATGCTGGGTGTTTGGCACTTAGAGCAAATTAAGACATCCCCTTGACTTTGCAGGATGTTGCAGACTACAAGTCTAAAGGAAAGTTTGATGGCGCAAAGGGAGCGGCAACCAAAGCTGCTCGGAAAAAGGTAGAGGAAGAAGACGAAGAGGAGGAGGAGGATGAAGAAGAGGAGGATGAAGATGATGATGACGAATAAAACTGTACAATACTTGTCTCCATGTGAATACCATAGAGTAGGGGAAACACCGTAAATGCAGCACCTCTTATTTGAGATGGTGTCTCTTGCCCTTATTAGGCTTAATTAAAAAAGAAAAAATTTGGATTCCGATCGCGTTGTAGTTTCTAAAAGTGCTCTAGAAATTGTAACTGGTTTACATGAAGTGGCCATGGGTGTAATGAGCACCCTGAAACTGTATCAAAGTTGTACATATTTCCAAACATTTTTAAAATGAAAAGGCCCTCTAGTGTTCTCCTAACTCTGTGCACTTTGCTGTTGGTGTAACAAAGCATTTAAAAATGTTTCAAGCATTTTTTTAATTTGTAAGGTGGTGTTACTATATGGTTATTGGCTAGAAAATCCTGGGTTATAAACTGTACATATCTATAGTTTGTAAAAACTAGACAGATTCTTGTGGTACATGCTTAGAGTTATGATGCCTTAGAGGAGCAGTGATTACTGGAGAGGCCGTACGTTCCCCGGGGTGCCATGGCCCGAAGCATGCACTGTGAGGGTAGATCTATTTACACTACAGTGGGCGTCCATTTAGCTTAAAGTTGTCTTTCTGTATATAGTGAAATAGCATTCTGCTGCCATTCTTAGTTGTGGAAGGGGGTTCAGCTGGCATGAGAAGTGTACGGATTTTTTTAGTTAAGTGCGGTAGTTTTTAAACTGAAACTGTAGACATCTCTTCATCGCCAACTCAGTGAAGAGCCAGTGCAGCAACTGAAGTTCAAAAACACTCTGTACTTAAACAAATTTGCAACGTTCTGTTTTTTTTGTATGTTTAGAATGCTGAAATGTTTTTGAAGCAAAATAAACAGTATTACATTTTTAAAACTGTTCTTGACAACACTCTAAATTTCTGGTTTAAAAGGATCTTAACAACAGCAAGAGGTTCATTTCGAAGTCTGTGGCATCCCTCAGGGCTGGTGACTTAGGAAACATTCTGACTCAAGGATTAAAAATAAAAATAAATGGTGGCCAGCCAAAACTGGCTGAATTGAAAGAGATGGCTGCTCCAGCTAATATGCAATCATAACTGTTTATGGCTGAGTGGCATAAGATGCTATGCAAGTTTGAACTTTATTACTTGAACTTGGGAGCCTAAATGAACATTCATGACGTAATTGTTTGTTTGTGTGTGTATATAGCAGCATTCAGAGATGCAGAGAAAGGTAGGTGGCTAGGAATGAGGCTGATACTATGGAATAAGTATAAAAGCATAGTTTGGAATTTTTTATTTTTTTTTTTTTTTTCAGTTGTGTTGGGTAAATTTATAGCCCAAATGCATTGCTGTACATATTAAAATGTGCCTTTTTTGTCCTGTGTTAAACTGTTTCAGACTTGTGGTTTTTTCTAGCATCTTAACCCTGGGCAGGAGCGAGGCCCCCAGGCTGGCTGCTGCACTAGGCGTGTGCTGCAGGAGCTCACTCCGTGCCCTTCCCAGTGTCCCCAGGCAGCCGGGTGCTGCGGGGCAGGGCATGGCATCCCTCTCCCCCTCCGGTGGCACTGACTGCAGCGCAGACCCCATCTTCCCAATTCCAGCAGGGTGTCCCGCAGCCTGGGGTCGAGCTGTCCTGCTCAGTCCTGGGCCTGTGGCTCTGACCCTGTCCCTCACGTTCTGGCTGTGGCTCGCAGCCCATCTGCCGAGGGCCAGGAGGAGGTGGGCATGCAGACGTGCTCGTGGTGACACCGTCAGATGTGCGCTGCCGTGCGCCACCCGCTTGGCAGGTGAGAACTGCTGTGTGGGGATGGGTGCTGCCACCGCTCTGTCTGAGCCCAACTGCAGATGCACGAGGGCCAGGCTTGCAGGCAGGAGAAGCAATGCTGGTGAGGAGAGACATCCTCATCGCCTGACTGGGCTTGTGTCTGGCTTCCTGTGACCTCTCGATAACTGCGGTATCTTGGCAAAACACTCTGGTCTAATGTTGAGATAGGGTAGGACCTGAGAGCAAAAACAGGTCAGGAACTTTCATGGAATATAGCCACACGTGGTGATTTTTATTATTTTTTTTTTTATGGTTTAGTGTTGGTTGGATCTGGGAAATTCTTCTGTAATTGCTTAATTATGGCAATTCTTAAATGTCTTTAAAGAACTACAATAGAAGAAGCGTGAAATTGGCTCCCATTTTACGGGAAGTTGTGCTTTAAAAGGCTGAATAAAACCGTGCCTGGGAAAGAAACAGGTACCCTCGTATTCTCTGCCTTTCCTGTGCCTCTTGTGTCATGAGGGAGAAGACTGGAGATGCCAGGACGTGGAAATTTGATGGGAAGTGGTGGAGCAGAAGAGAAAAGCGATGGCATCGTTTCAGGAGCTTTAATGCTGTTCCTATTGTCTAGTTGGCAAAATCTCCCCTTAGCCACATATGGGAATTAGTGTAGATCACTGCTGTGCAAATCGAGCTTGGCTTTGAATTAACTGCTAGTGAGCTGAGTCCCTATTGATAGTATTAGCAAATAAGAGCTGGAGCTGACACCTCTTTGTCTTTGTTATATTGGAAATCTATCAAGTTGCAGGGCTCGATGGAGGTCTTGGGCCATAGGTACTACCTGTTCCTGCTTGGCAAATTCCTGAAATACGGCATGCCTGGGGGATGCTGCTCGAGACAGTGCTAGTGCAGGACTCTGGGGACTTGAATTTGGGTATTGCAGATGCAGTGCTGGTGCGTCTGTCCCCTTGGTGCTCTGCCATTGATAAATACCACAGTGTGAATGTATATAAATAACGTGGGATTTTTCCCCTGCTCCACCACCGCTGATTTGTGTTCAGAGATGTTGTCATCTGAAATACTGGGAACTGCTCAATTTCGCATGGCTCAGTTGATTTGATAGAATGCTCTGACACGCTTGTGGTGTTCCAAACAGACGGTTCTGCTTTGGGCGGCTGTGCAGCTGAAGCTCCTTGCTTAACTTTACTCCAAAGCTGTGCAGAGTAAGTGTGTCTCTTATTGTCTCACTCTGCATAGAGAAGGGTAACAATGAAATAGATCTGAGGGGAGGGGTGGAGGGGGACTTCGCCTTGTGTGACTTTGCTGGAGCTGGCTACTAAACGGCTTTCGTTCCCAAAATGTGCTCTGCTGCATCCCCTGTGCCTGCTCGAGGGGAGCTAGTCAGCCTGTGCAGCAGCTGTGGGACCCGTTTGCCTTTCTGGGAAGGCAGATGGTGGCTGGGCTGGTTGGATCCTCTCTCTGGATGCCTGAGATACGGAGTTGCAGAGATGGAGCAGCCTTTGCTGAAAGGAGATCACCTGTAGGCACTGTGTGTGGAGGTGCAGAGCAGGCAGAGGCCCCATGCTCCAACCTGCCTCGCCGTGCAGCGTGTGTGTGCGTGGTGCTGCTGGGCCGTGCTCCGTCCTGAGAGCACACTGCCAAAATGCAGCGTGTCCTCAAACCAAGCTGCCTGGGGAAGGTGTGGCATGGACGGGCTGCTCTAATGCAGGGTACAGCCTGCCCCTCGCCTAGCTCAGCCCTGCAGTGTGGCAGTGAGAGCTGGGGCTGCAAGGCCACGCTCTCCTGCTGTTCTGTAGCCCATACAATTGTAAAGCCGGTTGAAGTCTGGTAAATGTTTTGTGTGAGCTGAATGCACACCCTGGGACTTGGGCGGGCTCTGAGGTGGAACCGCTTCAGCGCAGCCCCAACACAGGGGGGTGGCCCTCAGCAAAGGCAGTGCTATGAGATTGTTTCCTGCTGCTTGTGTCGGTACCCTAATGCGTGTGTGAGGAAGCAGCACGTTGGTTTTTCCGTCGTAACATTCGTTAAAAATCAAGATCCAAATGCACATGGAATCAATCGGCAGCAAGTAGCTCTAGCAGAAATCCCCAGGAAGGTGGGAGCCTGCTGAGGGTCGTCCTGGGGGCACAGCAGTCACATCTCTGTCTGCTCTCAGTGTTGGGCCAGCTGTTGGCTACCCATGCTTATTGCAGCAGCGAGGTGTGAGGGTTGCCACTGGCTGCATGTCATTGGCTGACAGCTGGATGCTCGCAGCTTTGGACCTCCAGTTTGCTGGACTGTGATGCAATGAACTGGACTGCAAATTGCAGCCACACTGTGGAGTGAAGCAGAGAGGACCTGGCCACCAAGCAGTTGCTCTCTGAGCGTGTTTTAGCTTGCAGCCTGGCATGGGTCAAACAGCCACGTGCCTGGCAGGGAGCGTGCTGTGTGTGCCTCTGCCTCTTTCTGTCAGGAGGGCTCCAGCCTGTGTTTGGTGATCTGTGGATCTGTGGCTGGAGTGGCCCTCAGCACCTGACACCTGCCAGGCCAGTATGGGTATGATGAGATGAGGGGAGGTGTGGGATGGCTCCAGGCCTGAAGCTGGGGCTCCTGAGGGCAGCTCATCCAGGGTGCCCGTGGGCTCGGGCTGCTGCCCCTCCTGCTGTCAGCGCCTCGTGCTCTGGAGCACAAGCTGCTGGGAGTTTTGCTGAGGAAGTGTGGAATAGAGATGGGACAGTGAGGTGGGTTGAGAACTGGCTGACTGGCAGAGCTCAGAGGGTTGTGATCAGTGGCACAGAGTCCAGTTGGAGGTCTGTTTTTAGCAGTGCTCCTCAGGGTCAGTGTTGGATCCAGTCTTGTTCAATATCTTCATCAGTGACCTTGGTGAGGGGATAACAGCCACTCTCAGCAAGTTTGCTGATGATATGAGGATGGGAGGAAAGGCTGGCACACCGAAGGCTGTGCTGCCATTCAGTGAGACTTGGACAGGCTGGAGAGTTGGGCAGAGAGGAACCAGATGAGCTTTAATAAGAGCAAGTATAGAGGAGTATTTCTATTCCTAATATTCCTAAATATTCCTAGGGAGGAATAACCACGTGCACCAGTATAGCTGGGGGATGAGCTGCTGGAGGGGAGCGTTGTGGAGAGGGACCTGGGGGTCCTGGTAGAAATAAGTTGGCCATGAGCCAGCAGTGTGCTCTGGTGGCCAAGGCAGCCAGTGGCATCCTGGGGTGCATTAAAAAGAGCGTGGCCAGCAAGTCAAGGGGGGTGATCCTCCCCCTCTGCTCTACCTGATGAGGCCTCACCTGGTATACTGTGTCCAGTTCTGGGCTCCTCGGTACAAATAAGACAGGGATCTCCTAGAGAGAGTCCAGCAGAGGACCACAAAGATATTAAAGAGCCTGGAGCATCTCTCTTATGAGGAAAGGCTGAGTGACCTGGGTCTGTTCAGCCTTGAGAAAAGAATACTCAGAGAGGATCTGATCAATGCTTATTAATATCTAGGGTGCAGGAAGCAAAGGGATGAGGCCAGAATTTTCTAAGTGGTGCATGGGCAAGGGGAAATGGCCACAAACTGAAGCATACAAAGTTCCGCACAAACGTGCGTAAGAACTTCTTCACAGGAAGGGTGACAGAGCACTGGGATGGGCTGCCCAGAGAGGTTGTGGAGTCTCCTTCTCTGAGGATGTTCAAGACCTGCCTGGACGCCCACCTGTGCAACCTGGTCTGGGGAGCCTGCTTTGGCAGGGATGTTGGACTTGATGATTTATAGAGGTTGCTTCCAGCCCCTACAATTCTGTGATTCTGTTTTTCTGAGCAAGCCGCAAGTTGAAGATATCAGTGACAGCCTTAAAGAGAGCCCTTTCTTCAAGGGCTGCTGTGAGACTGGGATAAGCCCTGAGGAGCTGGCATCCAGCTGTCTCACTGGGCCTGTTGCTCATGCTGCTTGTTGGCTGGGGGTGACGGTGGCACTTGTGGGACGCTGGCGGTGGGAGATGCGAGCAAGGAGTGCCAAGGCACATCTGCCACCTTGCTTTTGGCAGGAGCCATCTCCCAAATAAGAACAAGGAGTTTCTGCTTATTTGTTTACTTGCTGTGCAGTCTTTGCATTTTTCCCCTGTTCCTCGAGGCACATAAGCAGCGCACTGTGCACATGTGACAGAGCAGCCCACAAACTCCCTTTGTGACTTCTTTCTTTCACGGAGGAGAAATGCATTCAGGAAAAGCAGGGCCCTGACGACAAGAATCAAGCGTTTCTAAATATGGACATCCCTTTTTGGACTAAAAAGTCTTTTCTGTACCACGCATATTTCCCCTGTTAATCATTTCCTTTTGTTCCTCGCAAACTTTGGTCCTCCGATGTTATGGAAGGAATTACAGCTGCTGTGTTTGTAAACTTTCCTTTACGTTCTGGTAGCTGGTTTGTATCTTTGTGGATCTGCTGAGTTGTTTCTTTTGCATTGTGATCAGAAAGGTCAGCACTCTGGTTACTCACCCTTTTCTTTTTTTTTAAAAAAAAAAGAAGCAGTCATATTTAGCCTCAGCCTGTCTTGAAATATTGGGGATTTTACAGGCCAGTGATCTTCTCATGGTCCCATTCACCGCTTTTGTGTTGGACTAATTG